CTAATAAGATACGGTAGGGTGTAATTCCCCGCGAATCTTCGCAAGCAAATCCATGACTGTTGCTAAAGTCACACGTCCCTGCGGTACTTTTGCGGCTGCCGTCTCCCACAGTGCCCCCTCACGAGCAGAGAGTTGTTCTTCCCACACCCGCAGTTCCTTTGCACGTTTATCCACAGACTCCGCAGCAGCCGTAATCCGTTTCATCTTCTCTCCGTACTTTTCTTGTTCACGGCGTAGGGTGCGTTCCCAGTTGATCAGAGACTCACGTTGTAGTCGTAATTCCGCCTCCCGTTGTTTACACGCCTCTTCTCGCTGTGCCACTGTCAACTCCTTCGCTTGTACCGCACGGGCACTTTGTTGAATTCGCTCCACACGTTCCCGTGTATCTTGCAAGAAGAGTTCCTGCTGTTCATCTATTTCTTTTTCACGGGCCTCAATGTTGGCAGTCCGTGTGGTGAGAGATGCCCGTTCCTGCTGCAGCAACTCATCACGCTCCGCCAACTCCCGCTCACGTGCATCTAACGCACACTTCACCTCTTGCAATTGCTGTCTATATGTGTCGGTTACTATCTTTGGAGCCAATCGCTCCTCCTCTTGTTGGAGTTTTTCCTCCCGCAGTGTGAGTCGCTCCTCACGTGCGGCGGCCTCTCTCTCACGGCGGAGCACAGCCTCCTCTCGCAGCTGCAAATCCATCTGTCGCTTGCGTATCGCTCCAGATGATGACATCTGTTGTTTGGAAGGAGATGAGAGAGACGAGACCGGGTGTGTAGAGTCCTGTAATTGTTGTAATTGTAATTGTTGTTGTGGTAGTTGCAGGTGAGCAGAGGGAGAAGTAAAGGGAAGAGGCGTATAGATAGGAGTTACATCATGCCAATCGTAACTGGTCTTGAAAAGTCGCTCCTGCCGCCTATCAGGAGGACATGGACTCCCTTGTTGTGATTTCTTTCCACTCTCTAGTGTAGTTGAAGAACCCCCAACATGTAAGTGTTGCGGGGTATTAATGTTGTTACTGTTATTGGTATTGCTGTTGTTTTGTGCAGCGAAGAGCTCAGCTGCAACTCGCCAAGCAGATGATGAAATGGGAGAAGAAGAAGAAGAATAAACAGTTGTACCGTCATATTTGTTATTATTATTATCATTGTTGTTGTTGTTGTTTCCTTGTGGTGATAGAGGAAACATAATCTGTGCAATAAACAATTTTCCCACCTTCTCTCTCCCTCTCCTCTACTATTGTTTTCTTCTGCCTTGTGTCGCTTGCACCAACGACTGCAGCAATAACAAACAACAGTAGGTGCAACAGAAATCAATAAGAGCAATAACAAGAGAGGAGAGGGCACTAATGCAAAAGAGTGCAAGATATTATGATGAGTTATACACAGAAATAAAAGCAAAAAAAAGCAAAACCTATAGTTTATACCCTCATAGCTTCGTTTTTTTTTTTCTTTTTTTTTTACCTTCAACTCTTAGCTGAATAAATATATGTATATATATTCATTTTTTTTATGTATTTATTCCTTCTTAACTCTCCTCGCTCTCTTAGTTTCTTACTCATCCCCCGTTCTCCACACTCAAAGAAGAGAAATAAGAAGAAATGAAAAGAGAAAAAAAAAAAAAAAAAAAAAAAAAAAAAAACGAAAAAAAAAAAAAAAATACTCTTTGTGAGAGTATCTACTTACCATCATACACTAATTCTGTTCTCCCAGCTGCATAATCCCTGCCACAAAATCGCCATAGGGTATCTTGTTAACATCATTACCTTCGTCGCCTCCATTATTAGTAATATTAGTATTACTATTATTATTAGTACTACTACTACCACTACTAATACTACCATTGTTGCTCGTGGAAGCGATGATGTAACGGCAGAGATTTTCTGTTGCTCGCACACTACGAATACCTTCACTCTCCAAAATAGAATTAACAGCTTCAGCGCATGCATCCGCATAAACAAACGCACCACCATCACTCTCACGCAGAAGAAGAAGCAATAGTCGTTGTGCGAAGGGACGCACGGCGTGACACAACTCCACAGCCAAAGATATTTGCAATGAATGCGATTCACTCCTTCTTTCACGATGTGGAGACTTAACTCTACCTTTGGTTCCTCCTTCTGTAGTTAATGCTGTTCTCATTCTTCCTCTGAGTAGTGAAGAAGGTTTTAGCATTGCCACTGGGGGACATCCATTAGCACTATCATTATCATGATTATGATCAGTACCACTACCAGCACTGCTTCTTCTACTAGCACTACTACTACTACTACTTATTCTTCTATTAGTACCATTAGTAGTGGGTACAGTAGTATCCGCATTAGCAGTAGAAGCAACCACATCCAGTAGCTGACGCATACCACTTGGAGGTCTAAGAGGCAAACTATCTGCATCATCATTATTCCCACTTTCACCGCCTTCTACAGAGGTTTCACACACCGATTCAACAGAAGGAGGCCACGAGAGTGTACTCTGCTGCGCCGTTGACATCTGCAACTGCTGCGGGTTATTGTGATGATGGTTGTCGTTTGGAGCTAGAGAGCCATCAACACTACGGGGTGTGCCACACCATGCCTTCTTCTTTGAGAGTTTACGTTCACCATTTCGTGGTGGTGGTAGTATTCTACCTTCGTCCTGGTCCTGACCATTTACATCATCTTCTTCTTCTTCATCATCATCTTCAATGTCTACGTTCACATCGAGAACAATGGACTCTTCCACAACAGCACGCCAGTCAACCAAAACCGGTACACTTGTGTTGGGAGAAACTACACATCCTGTTTTTCCTGCAGTAGTGCCTTGAGGGCTTAAGCGCAACGCAGAGCTGTTGGTATCAACTCCCGCCAATCCCCGTTGTTCCGGTTCCGGTTCCTGATATGATTGCGCTCCTGTAAAACCACACACTCCCCGTGGTGGAGTACACCGCTCACCAGATCTTGCGAAAGATAAATTGCCTCCGCATGGTACAACCTCAGAATGGTGTATGGCATTTCTATTGTAGTCATCATGAACATCCCTAATATCATATTCTGGGCATAGAATAGTAGTGGTGTCCTGTTCTTGTTGTCGTTTCTCTTTTGATGGGCTTATACTTGCAGAAACCAAATGTGGGGAGGCCAAACAGCTATTAAATCCTTCTGAGGGTGGAGTCTTCATAGCATTCATTCTGCCAGACGTGTATACTATCTGTGTCCTTCCTTCTTTACATGGTAAAGGTGTGGGAATGCTCAGGCTGCGTGTCGCACCATTCTTTTGCTGCTGCTGCTGCTGCTGTTGTTGTTGTCGTTGCTGTTGTTGCTGTTTCTGAATGTCCATCACGGAGTTGAGAGTGTCTGTATCATTATCAGGCAAAGGTGAAGTAAGTCGTTGTCTTCGAGGGTGTTCCTGCTGCCGAGCATGCAAAGTAACCTGGGGTGACTCAGCAGCGTCGCTCAAATCGCGTAGTAGTGCATGTGGTGTATTGAGCATCTCATTCTCTATGACAGGCCGTTGATCAGATGAGGGGGATGGAAGAGAAAAACAATAATTGGTTATGGGCATCCCACATCCTACCCGTTCTCCTTCGTTATTCTCTTCATTTTCTATTCTTCTTCGACATGTCGCTCTCTTAAGTCGCTCAGTGGCGCCTATGGTGTTTACTGGGGTTCCTTTAAGGCCAACATTACGTCCACTACCCCCTTCGCCATCAGACATCAGTGTCGTTGCAGCGCAGACTATAGGATGTGCTTCAAGGCAAGTGGAGAGATCCGCATTCTCTGTATTCATGGCATCGATGTGTACAACACCAGTATGAGTGGTATTCTCACTGTCAACAAAGTTGTTGTGGCTACAAACAAAACCTCCACTGCATGCACCACTGAGGCGAGCACGTGGTGCAGGAGTAGGAATACTTAGCTCACTCTGTGGACTGTCTGCGATTTGCTGGTTTTGGTGTATTGGTTGTTGTAGTAGTTGTTGTCTACTCAACTGCGCAGGTGTTAGATGACTAGGGTCACCCATCTCTAGCGAATATGAAGAATAGTGTAGGCCAACAAAAAAAAAGAAAAAAACTTTACCAAGTCCAAACACACACACACATACATTTCTAATGTAATACAATGTACATATATACATGGTTGTTCGTGTCCATACATCTGCATAGATACGAATGATTAAAAAAAAAAATAAAAAAATAAGACCTTCCTCCTCCTCCTAAAGGAAAAACAAAAACTGAACAATAAATAAATAAACAAATAAAGATATCAATTGGTAAAGCGATACAGCTACAAAGAGATGCGCCCAGGCACAGACACACTCACCCACTCACTCACACAGAGAGAGAGAGAGAGAGAGCGATACATGTACACATTTGCATATACACGTATCAACTAGAGTTCAACGAGACTCGCAGTTGCTGTGCCCGCCGACCAGCAGCAACGTCACCTAGTGCATGTGCTCGTTCGAAAAGCAACAGAGCCTCCTGTCGCCGTCCGAGCAACGCCTCTAACAACACAGCATAGTTGTACATCGTCATTGCATCGTGTGGGTCACGTTGCAGCGACACTGTGTACCAGGATGCCGCAGCTTCGTAGTCACGATCCACTGCCTCTGCAATGTATGCCCGTGCCCGTGCGCCCACGGCGTCGTCCATATGCCGTTCATACACAGCGGTCCACACCCGTCGTGCTCCCTCAATATCGCCCTGACGATATAAATGCCATCCATACGTGACATCTTCCTTGGCGAGACGAGTCTTTTCCCCAGGCATTACACTCGTCATGCGACTGCTACCATCACTGATATCACCACCTTTCTTTGGATAACTCTTATTACTTCCATTGTTGTTGTTGCTGATGATGCTGATGTTATTACCGTATTCATTAGTACTGTAATGGTTGCTATTTTTTCGTACGTCTTCAGGTCTGGAAGTATATTGTTGTTGTTCTTGTTTTTGTTCATCCTGCTCTTGTTTTGTACCAGACACTGCTGCGAGGTATTTCGCGTACAGACTGTTTGAGGTGTGATTGGTTGGTGTTGTCTGCACCTCTGTAAGGCGACTAGGAAGACGAATACTGCTGTTCTGATGACTGTGGCCACGATTCAAAGGAGTTTTCACTTGTGCCCCACCGTCATCATTACCATTACTTCTACTGCCTTCATATTGTGTCCCTGCAATTCCCCCACTAGACGGGTATCCTTCCTCACCCAACTCCTCCCTTAACTGCTGCAGTGCCTTCTCTGTCCGCAGTTGCTGCAGTGCGGTGAGAACGTGCAGTGGATTACTCTGTTGCATTTTTGCCGCAATATTCCCTGCGAGTGCTGCGGCCGCTGCGGCCACTCGTGCTGCGTGTCTTTGTGCCTCCGCGTGTTGTTCCGCCTGTTGTTGGGCGGCGGCGGCGAGTTGGCGGGCGTCGTGTTGGCCGGCGGCGAGGGCGGCGCGGGCGGCGGGGGCGACGGCGGCGAGTGGCACCACCGGCCGGCCACGATAAGGGCCCAACACCACACAATCCCCGCAGACAAGAACACCACCACCCACCATTCCCATTCCACCTTCATTCTCATGATTCTCATAATAATGATGATGCGGAGGAAGGGGAGGAGGACCTTCATTCTCACCAGGGATGTAGTACTCGAGCGGGCGAGTAGGATGAGTAGGGCAGGGGGCGATGCTCATGTCTACACGACATCGCAATAAATACCGCGGCAGCAACTGCGCGGAATCATACACCGCCACCGCAGGACCCGCCACACCATCTGTGAAGACACAACAATCCCACTCACGACGGAATGCCGCCGTGGCAGTTCGCGCCGTTTTCATAGACGCTGGACAGACAAATGGTTTGCCAACCACAACATCGCAAATAAGAATACAGGTGGTGTGCTTGCCGTCCCAATTCTGAAACGGTCGACGGTGGAACACCATACAGGGGTTTCCACCACTATTACCATCACCATCAACATTTCTCGGACTACTTCCAGTATTGTCAGCAGCAGCAGCAGCAACAACAACACCATCAGTATTATCACCACCACTCGCAGCGGCTACATGAGTAGTGTCAACGCCGTAGCTAACGATGTTGTGTAGACGCTGGTAGTCACCAACAATAGCAAGACGTTCTGTCGCACGCTGATGTGCTGCAAGAAGACGGGAGTTAAAACAACTTGCATGCACTTTATTCATTACAGATACCATATCCATTACCTCCAAGTTCAGCTGTGGTAAACCAACCACGTCCAGTACCTCCTTCACGACGGTATCGTAGTAAGCATCGCCAGGGGAAAGGACATCCTCACGTACAGAAGCACGCAAACGCTTCTGCCACTGATACACTAACGCGTCACGATCAGACTTGTTATATCCAATTTCATCCACTATATTATAGAAAGTTCTCTCATTCATGTAATATAGATCAGATATTTGACGTCCATTGTGTACAAATGACTCACAGAACGCATCCCATAATGGATCCTTTCCCTCGATATTGCTATTATTATGATTATAACTATTACTGTTACTATTGTTGATGTCATTGTAGCCACGGTAGAGTTTCGATTTGTTGACAGTACTGTCAATCGTCGCCCCTGCTTTGCCATCACGGGACATCGATAAAATAGTGGAAGCTTGTTGAATATGTGATTCTTGTGACGATGATGATAATAACTTCTTATTTTCATTCCCCCTTTCCCCTTCTTTCTCATTTTGTTGAATCTGGTGTGTATCATTGGCCCATACATCGTTGTGTGGTAGCCACTTAAACGGAGAAGCAGAGGATGACACAGCCAATGCGGAGCCATGACTATACCCTGTATCTTCCTTTATTCTTCTTTCTTCCTCAAACCTCTTCTTTTCTCTATCCCCTTGTTGTTGCTGCTGTTGCTGCTCTCCCCACTTCTGATAGTGTGTGGGTGGAAACAAGTAGCTGCGCGGGTCAGGTTCCACACCGTAAATCTCTGTTAATGTCAGAAAGAGTTCACGTGGTTTACCTCGAAACTCTCGCATAGCATGTGCCACCTCTGGTGTGGCAGACGTCACGTTGTGTGCCTTCAGAAATGCCTCAAGACGTAGAGCAGTGTTGAGATTGTGTGGTTCTGGGCCATTGTCTAACACGAGATTGTGCATCAGTTCTTCTTCATGGTTCTCCCACTCACGCAGCAGCGTAGGGACCCGATTTGCATGCTCCCGCCCATACAAACGAAAGAAGTCCATTATCCGTTGCTCGTAATCCACAATATGGTACTTGCGGTATAACTTCGTGAAGGTATCAATCTCCGCAATACTACAAACAACACTCTCTACAAAACGCAGACCACCCGGGTTGTGTTCTGACAAGAACTCTACAAGACGTTGCTGATAACCAGCAACATCAGATGGGGCCACAGCAAGTGAGAGACCAATTTGCCCCATTTCTGTTCCCAACACGTGTGTGACAAGTTTTTGTTTCTGAACAATATCATCCACATTCACGAGAAGGTTTTCAGGGCATGTACCAACTACACGTACACCGGATGGGTGTTGTTCCTTTACGATAAGCAGCAACTCCAGTGTGGAAGTGTTCACCGTCCACTCAGCAGATGCAGCAGCGCCACGCTGTTCGCCCCGAACGTCGAGTTTCACTTCAAGAAAATCATCCGTAGCGGAGCGCACAATGTCGCGTACTGTAAACTCACCGCGCACCTCGGCACAATTCGCGATAAGTGTCCCATCCCTCGCAACTGCACGTAAAATGACAGAAAACACACGTGGGTCGTTGTTACTCTCAGACGCAGTGTTGACGCCGATGTCGCGGGGAATATTCACTAAATTGTGAAGACGTACGAGAACCTTCAATTCTTTACTCATATTAGAATCTCGCTTCTGCTAATAAACCAAATAAGAAAAAAAAAAACATATAACCAGACGGTTTTTTTTTTTTTTTTTTTTGTGTGTGCGTGTAAAACAAGAAGTAGAACAAAAAAAAGAAAATGTTACAATCAGCAGTAAAAGAAATAAAATAGGGTTAACAAAAGCAATACTGGAAGCTTTAAAGATAAGAATAATCTTTGCCTTACTTCTACAATAAACAAGAAACAGAAGAACAAAAGAAACCCTGTATTTGACCTCCACGAATTGGAACCACGTGATGAATAAAAAAATAAATCGTATTTTCTCAGACAGTTCTCCATTAAAAACATCCCAAGAACTTACAAAATGGAAGTGCTGAAAAGCCCCTTTTAACCCGCTTCCCGCTCGGGGCGGAGAGGGTTGGATTGGTTTGGGCTTTTCACAGACTTACAAATTGACAGACTGTGAAAGATTGGAAAGAAAACTCATTTACCCAAATGTTCATACCCCCAGTACAGGATTTATTACTTAAAAACCATAAGACACGATCATTCTTTTAGCAAGATGTCAAAATAAAAGAGAACCCACACTAGAAAATATATATATATATCCCTCAAGGGGAAGAAGAAAGAAACAACGTTGTGGGTTTACGATGCGTGGACTCTGCACCTTGGCCATCCATCATCCTTTCCTTTTTGCTTGCCCTGCACATACAGTCTTATGCATCACACAAACTCCATCTAGAAAGCATAAAATAATGGTGGAAATAAAAGCCAAGCACAACGCTGACCTTAACACAAACAAACAAACAAACCGTAGCGTACTTAACATCCAGTAACATTCCCCACACAAGGTTATTGTAGGTAATCAGAGAATGACTCCTCTAACCCATTCCAAGTAAGTGTGAGAGAGCAAGAGAGAAATGCAGGTAAAGAAGAAAATAGAAAATCCACCCCAAAAGAAGAAGTCTCAGTAATCAAAGAAAATATTGTTAGTCACATACAAAAATACTCCCCAAACCACTCCACCGCCACAAAGGAGTCTTCTCGGTTGCATTGCACATGGAAATAGACACCGCATCCAAGAACGCTCGAGTTCTCATCACAGTACGTATGCACACAAACATATAAATAAAAACATATATAGGTGTATATATACGTACATACAGAGAGAGAAGTTGATCTCCCATGTAAAGAATGCAATAACACGGTATATATATATATGAGGAAAATATTAAAACTAGAATGTTGCCAACTCAGAATTCCATTGTTTCAACATCCTGTTCTTGCGAACACTGTATGACACTTCCACCGCGACGTAGCTTGGTCACTTCTTGAAGGGCAGCATCATCACCACCTTCCTCAATCTCCTGCCCCTTAGGGACCTCAACTTCCGAGAAGACATTCGATGATGTACGACCACGTTGTCTTTGACGTTTCGACGGCTTACGCATCAGTGACGTTTCCACATTACTTTCTGCACGTGATTGGTATCCGGTATCAAAAGGTTGTTCCACAGGCATCTCATACATAGGCATAGTTTGATAAGTAGACTGAGGCTGTTGCATGGTTTCGACAGTGTCTTCATAGTAGTCAAAGTTGTATGCAGAAGAATTATTGTTTCCTCGATACATATCACCATAACACTCTCGAATAATCATAGTAGTAATGAAATAAGAATCATCATTGTTCGCCCAGCAACAGTAATTTCTAGTCCAGCAACAACAAAGAAGAATAAGTAACAAAAATGCAAGAAAAGCCAGTGCAGAGACAGCAGGAACGACATACGAATTCTTATTGACCGACGATGACGGCGGTTCTGTTGGTGCGTCTGTAGTAGTAGTTGTTGTTGTTGGTGGCCGAGTAGTAGTAGGAATAGTAGTAGCAGTGGGAACAAGAGTAGAACCAGCAATTGAATCTTGAACTTCACATACCACAAAGCCGTAAACACCTAGTACGGGATCTCCAAATGGATTAACCTTGGTATCATACCATGTAGCTTGTGTCCCTTCTGTAAACATGAACTGAGAGACCAAATAAGGATTACCACGTGCAGGGTAGTTGGCCTGACAGAACGGTGTGTATCCATTCATTGGCCCTGCACCAGGAAGAGAATAAAGCGACCCACGGTAAAATGGAACACCTTTATGACTAAATGATGGTCCGGTTGCAAAGCGATCGATGTTCCAATGGTATACACAATTAAGTGAAGCACCTTGAACGCCTGCTGTGCACTGTGGGCTTGGACCATATTGAGTACTGTAGATTGCATTCCCACCCATGTAAGTGAGTGAAATAGGGTAGCCCATGTTTTGCGTACTCCTCGGAAGGGCTGCAATAGCATTTTGTGCAGCAGTTGACTGACCACTCACGAGAGAACCACCAGATGCAAGACAGGCATCTACGGAACTACCGTAATTGACATTGTTATTCAATTGGAACACACTGTGGGGATATGAGAAATACCTCACAATGTTATCTTGAACACTTCCCTCCGCTTCTGCCGTAAACTGCGGGTGGTGGCCCAGGTGCTGCAGAAGCATACAGAGCGACACCCACAGCACCGCGGTGCGGACAGCAGCAGCTGTTTTGACGTGAACACCACCAGTCATTGCTTGAGTCTTAATATCGGGAACTTATCACTAACACAGAGAGAAGGGGAAATGAGAAATATATATTACGACGTTGTGTAAATATTGAACACCACCACCACGACAAGCACCACCAACAACAAGAGACTTCTGTCCAGAGAGACGAAAATACTTTCCAAATAGAGAAACCAAAACAATCATCATTACAGTTTTCCACCCCTCACCCCCTTTGGTTAAATAGACTCTTTGAGGGGGTTGATGTACACATGAAAAAACTAAAACACATTCACAGAGATAATACTATCCACTGCTGTTATTTGAAAGGTATGAGACAACAAAAACAAAAATAAAAACAATGGCACCACTCCAGATGATGCTGAGCAGTTACCAAAGAGTGTTCCCCTCATTATTTATTTTGTTCTTCTTACGCCCTCCCTCACAGTAATGTGGTGAGGAACAATAAGTAGAAAATATGAGCCGACTACTAAGGAGCGAGTCGGAATTAGCAAACATGCAGAAAGTAGCAAAATACAAAACAAACATGCAGATAGAAAGAAATAGTATAATTTTAGCCTTATCTCTGTTATAAAACAGAAAAATAGAAAAAAAAAAAAAGCAAAACACTGAATTGTAGAGCCCATCGTGTACAAAAAATAAATAGTATTTTCGCAGACCGTTAGTACTATTAAAAACATCCTAAGAACTGACAAAATTGAAGTGCTGAAAAGCCCCTTTTAGCCCGCTTCCCGTTCTCCCTATCGCGAGTTGTACCCCCTTCGCTAAGACTATTGGGTTGACTTTTTTATCTTTATATTTGCCGTCCGCAGGATTTTTTGCTGAGGCGACGTAGCTCCACTTTGCTCGTATTCCGTGTGAGCGAAGAACTCTATCTATGGCGTTGACCTTCTTCACTAATAACTGTGAATGCGTGTTTTCTTTTTGCATAATGTTGATTATCGTTGTATTGTCGATGCGAATATCCACGGGGCCATGTAAATGTGTTTTAAACCCGCGTAAAGCAAGCTGAACGGCACGTGCCTCAACTTGGGATATCATGTGAGCGGCGAATGCTCCAATGCCCCACCTGCAGTCAACACTTCTCCTGAATCCTTGAATAACAACGCTCCCCATTCGTACATGGATGCATCTGTTACCAGCGTTGCCGTGGAGAGCAACTGCTGCGGTGATTGAACCGGCCCATTTGTTAATAATATGTTAAGCCTATCTTGGCCGATCTCCCTCGCATGTGATGATAAATTTGCAGGCTCTTGTGGCCGTGATAAACCTCGATTTAAGCGTAACAAACGTCGATGTACAATTGTCAAGAAGAAATAATAAGGGAATAGGGATTCACCCCTTACTCCTACGGCATACATCATACGCGAAACTGTACTCTCCAATTCTTCGACTGTCGTCTCATCCAGGGATGGTGCCAGGCGCAACTTCTTTATGGTTTTCTCACTTAAAGAAACCGTGTTGTTTTTGTGATTGAAATGTACTCCCATGAAATCATATTCTTTTGCGTTGAGCTGCTGTTCTCCGATGGTAGCACCGCAGTGTTGCATGTTACGTATGATTTGTTGTCCCCAAGTTTCCACCTTTTCGTGTAGGCCACTGATTCTTATGTTATCAATCCAAACATGTATGTGTAACTCTTGTGGTGCTGCATATTGTGGCAATACCAATTCCGGATCTCCAGCCAGGACTCTTGCAAGGGTATTTAAAATCTCGGGGCCGCATTTATAACCCATGGGAAGGCGAGTGAACTCAACGAGTTCCCCTGATTCCGTTCGGCAACGAAAGCTTGCGCGTATGTTCTCTGGCAGAGCCACCTGGAAAAATGATGCCTTTAAATCAAATAAAGTTGCAGTTTCGTCGCAAACTACACCCAGGTATCGGGAAATGCGTCCAAGAGGAACATCGGCAGCATAATCACATCCTTGTCATTCTTTCCTCTTGGCCACGCAATGAATCGCCTTCTCTGCCCGGAGGGTTTTTTCTCCACTACCGTAAACGGTACTACCCACCCTGCGGTTGTGTGGGATGAAGCTGTACAAATAATTCCTGCTTCCTTCATCCGCTGCGCATCAGCGTTGTTAATTCGTAAATTGGATTCACGCCGTCTGGCGTGCAACTCGGGTTTCTGCATAATATTCCACACCTCGTCCCAACGCCTCCTGGCACTATTATTCGGGCGTTCTCTAATCCATTTGGTGGACAGTGTTCCTACGCCTATTTGTTGTAACGGTAATCGGGCTTCGTCATCTTTCGTTGCCACCCTGGTGTGGTGTGATCGTTGAAGAATGTTCTGCCCTTTGAAGGGGGCGCAGAAATGTTGCCTTGTACATTCTGGTAATTCCCATTTACCCGCTGCCCATTTTTCCAATTCTCTTACATCAATGATGTGAGGTGTGCTAACTTGTTTATTGTTGCGGCTCAATGGCCTAGATATCACACCGTGCTTCGTGGGAGTTCCATTGGATCTGCATGTTTCCCTAACTGCGTTAATAACCGTGGGTCGAGATCGTGTTCTACCACTGCTGCCGCGGCGTGGGCCAAAACTCCTCTCTTTATCGAGTGGGCTGTCATCCTGTACGGTCCAAGTATATTCTCTATATCTTTTGTGGTTATTGTCGTTAGCTTTTCGTCGCTCGTCAATCCTTTTATGTTGAATCTGACGCGCTGTGCATCTACTCCTTGAATTACCACGTGTCTGGCCGCTGTGTTTGGATCGCTCTTGAAGGTTTTTGGCAGTGCTCCCCAATCCACTATTTGTATTCACGCGGCACGTCGTGCTGTAGTGCCCGATGCGACCACATCTGAAACAGCGTCTCTTACTGGGTGGTGGAGCGGAATGTTTCCGTTTCAACTTAGCAGCGGCCTGCAAGAATGAATCTTCTTTTGGTTGTGGCTCTTCCATAGCTTCCCTTAGTTCGGTCACCTTCACTCCTGGGTTATCTTTTGCCGTTTGAATTACCCTGAGTTGTGTGTATATCTGCCGTCACATTTGGATCAGCTGTGCTGATATCCCCTCGGTGCGAATGGTGTGCAGCCATTTTACAAAATTTCTCCATCCATCGTTATAAAATAAACCGAGGTTAACTAGTCTGGGAAAAAGTTACTGAAAAACATCCACCACTTGGCTGGGTGATGTCTCCCCCAGATATTCCATCATTCCTTCAAATGTACAGATCTTTTCCACGGGTCTATTGCATTCGGTCCACGTTTGTTGTTTTAGTTCCTGTATTCCCCGAAAACCCAACTTCGGGCCTTCCTCAGTAGTCAGTAAAGCCGGTTCCGACTTCCATGCCCAGCTTGATAATTTTCTTCCTTTTTGTGGGGGATCCTTTTGTTCGGTTGTGTGAAATGCATCCGGTGCACTCTGTTGTTCCCTGTCATTTAATTTGTCGAGTACCGCCGCCAGTTGCGACTGCGTGGCTGCATGCTGATTTTGCGTCTGTCGTAATTCCTCCAGCGTTTGGTTGCATTGTACGCGGGATGCTGTCAATTGTATCTGTGTGTTTGCGAGTTGCGCCTGCGTTTCTTCCAATTGCTTCCGCGTCTGTGTCTGTTGCTTTTTGCGAGAGAGGCCTCTTGATAAATCTGGGCCAGTTGGTTCTGTAAATCCTGGAGTTGCATATTTGCGTTTTGTTGTACCCTAAAGTCTTCGTGTTCTAACTGTGCTTGTGCGCATTCATACTCATAATGTAACTTTGAAGCTTCTTCTCCCAGTGCTGCCCATTCTGCACTGAATAAATTGTATGACGTCTCGAAAACTTGTAGAAAAGTTTGGATTCCTCGGCATTATAAAGTGAGTAATGGGGGGACACACGGCCACTCAGTCCATATAGTCTCCTTGTCCCACGTTTACTTTCAATGTGTCGCCTTTTAAAATTAGAAGGCCATCTACGTGAAAACTGTATTGCGGCTGGTCCACGGGCCTCATATTAAAGGAAAATGATGTTGGGCTATATTGGCGCATAAATTTTTGGAAAGCCTTGGTGCAAATCCGCCACTCCAAAGGTGTAAATATCGGATTGGTTGTAGTCATCATTTTTCCCTGCTTAAAAAACTTACTTCTTATGTTTCAGAAACTTACGATTGACAGAACTGTGAAAGAATGGAAAGAAAACTCATTTACCTAAATGTTCATACCCCCAGTGCAGAAAATGTTAGTTAAAAAGATTAAGACACGATCATTCTTTTCGCAAGCTGAGAGAAAAAAAAAAACAGAAAAATAATAATTAAAAGAATCAACAAAAAAAAAAATAACCGAAAAAAAATAAAAGAATATCAAGGAAATATGGGGAAGTAGAAAGAAAAAAGGTAACAAGATAAATGAATGAGATCAAAACTTCATGCAGCATCACTCTTGTGTTCCCTGTTTTTTCTCCTTCTCCTCCTCCTCCTCCTCCCATTTGTTACTGCCAGAAGGACGTCCTGTACTACCTGTTTTGGCCTCACTTTTTTCTCTTTCACGCGTGTCGCGTTCCCTAGCACGGAACATTTCATCAACTTTACGCTGCTCCAATTCCTGGTCAGTTGGAACCCAGAAAAACGGTTCCTTCTCTGCCTTAAGTTTGCGGAAATTAGGTTCCCAGTTGAAAGCGTGCAATTTTACATGATAATCAATCCGCTCACGTTCCCAGTTATCCCATTTCAGAAATATCTTTTCTTGGTCATCATGATCCATTGCTCCTGTAACGGTAAGGTTATGCATGTGCGTCATTATATCCATGTCGTTTAACACTTTACCAGGTCCCTCAAGATCCAACTGCGAACAGAGAAATGAGAGTTCCTCGCAAATATTTTCTGTATCACCCCAGCAATAGTGACCACCGCTGCTACGTACACGTAAAATAAGCGGACGGGCAACGGGATCTACTCCTTTGCGCCGCCGTTGTTGCCGCAATTTGGCCACGTACTTTAGACTATTCCACGGTGGCACACGATCATCATCAAGACACACAGAAATCATCATTGCCGGGTATGTTACCCGGTCATTGATGTTATGATACGGGTCGTACTGCATAAGACGTTTGAGATCCTCAGCAGAGTGCAGTGGATCCCCCCAGTCATCCCGTTCTGCTAGCGAAAGTGGTAAATCAGGATCTACCATGGTATTTATAACATCTAAAAAGGGTGATCGAAGTAGGGCGTTACCAAAGAGACTACATCCACGCATATTCATCGCTGCAGCAATAGGAACACATCCCGCACTATTACCTGCTGCCACCATAAGTTCTGGTTTAGTATAACCCATCTTAACCATATGTTCACAGCAAGCGATGAAATCATGAACAGCATTAATTTTGTTTTTACCCTTACCTTGTTCCGCCCAATTGGGAAGTTCACCACCACCACGTACATGAGCAAAGGCAACAGTCCATCGACGACGTAATAACCACATATACGGTGCGAGCTGAAAATGCATAGATGGGACTTCCCCATATGATCCATATACGTAAATAAGGCAATGCTTTGGAGTGTTGGGCTGAGCTTCAAAATCTGTCGCCTCTTGTATAAAGGCATCACGCCGTTGACAAATAGTAATAGGAATCTGTGTACCATCTTCTGATACACAAAGGTCACGATAAATACTATAAGGCCACATATAATCCCATGGAGTAAATTGTTCTGACTGACGTTGTGTAAAAAGTGCATCAGGAGCACACATCAAACTCTTTTTTGCCGTCATTTTGCTATCAAAATTAAAGACACAGTCTTTACTTGGTTGACAAATACTGCTATAAACAAAACTCATAGATTGTTGATTGAAATTTTTATTCAATCCAGGAGTAACAGAAGCTAGTGGAGGAAAATGTAACACCAAATCATCATTACGTGCATTTCTGGCAGCTTCATCAAGACCTTTATCACAGTTAATAATTCGTATGTGGTTGATACGTTCAAAAGCAAAGTGAGATTCAAATAACACAATACGGTCTTGAAAAAGATCAATATCTACAATTTGCACATCATCTCGGTATGGTACAAGCTCCTTCCACTCAGTGTTTTTCCCATATTTAAGAACAATCTCTTCTCTAGCGTACACCACACGATTATTCGGCCCGTGATCTGCTACCACCATAATAAAATGACCCTTGTAATATTCTAACCAGCTCCATTTTTCTTTGCTAGCGACTTCCACTGGTCGATTTTTACGAAAAAAATCTCGTAATTCATGTGGAATTTTTGGAAATGAAGCAGGAAGTACAAGTGCATTGCTTTTTAATTTAGAGTCTGATGTAATAATAATATACGCATTATCCTTAGTTTTGTGGATATCAACAAAGAATTGTTCATCATCATCTCGATACAGTTCTACTGGTGGAGGTAGAATTCCTGGGCGTATTTCTTGTAATATCACTGTATATGGTCGATTAAGATCATTTGATTCAGTATAGTAAAACTGGTTATCTGCCCCAAATTCTATACTCACAATATTACGTCCACGTATTACATGAAATAAACTTGCATTATCAATACTACGCACATGACAAATATACCGATCACCCCCTTCTACAGATAGTGTGTATGCCAAATACTTTCCATCCTGGGAAACGCGACAAATCCCCACATGACACTGCTCGTAACCAAAGTGTTGTTGCAATGCGGTGGGATTAATTAATTCTTCCGCTAAGAGATCAACTTCACCAAAACGTTTTCGATAAAATCCAATTGCATTAGGATCGCCTCCTGGTACAACACGTGTAAAGTATACATACTCACCAATACGTTCTTCTCCCTTATCAAATCCACCTTCTCGACTTGTGATGACTACTTTTGCGTCAAGCTCCGCCCAAAGACGAGCTTTAGAATGTTTGAAATCAAATTTAGCATCAATAAGTGCGAAGTGTCGTTGTTCACTCCGTACATAGCTTTGTGTGCGTTTGTCAAATAGATCCTCCATGTATTTAAACGGATCACTTTGCCGACGCTCACCATGTAGTTCGAGAGACTCCGGCACCTCTACTGGAAACGGACCATCAAGAACTGGCAGTGGATATGTGTTACGTGTCTGTGGAGAAAATCGATTTACCGCGCGACGGAAAAGTGTATACGCCGCGTTAGATGATGGGACCCAAGGGTACAACGCAGTCATCACAATCTCCTAATACCAAATTATAAAATGTACAGAGACACAAACAAACTCCACCCCTCTGGACTCAATTTGAACTTCCTTCAAGAAACCCATAAATTACACATAATATGAGATAGAAGAACAAAAAAACAGCAGAGAAAAAAAAAAAACCCTGTGGAGGCGGCGTTAGTGCAGCAGGATAAAAAAAAAAAAAAAAACTGGGGCAGATGAGATACATCAGGTGGAGTAATGCACAAAACCCATCAAACAGTATTGCAATAATAGCGTCAAATGCAAGAAAAGAAAAAAAAAAAAAAATTACATCCCATGGATAAAATTAAAGGGTGGGAAACGCAACACATCCATTGATGCAGTATATATTTATGGCAGGTATGCCAATATTTGTAAAGTATACCCCCCTTTACCGATGAAATACAGGTTAGAAAGCCTACAAGAGAAAGGACCGACAAAATATATATAAAAGAGAACGCATAAAACGATCTACTTGAAAAGGGGATCACAGCAAATCACATACAAACAGAAATCTTCACTTATACTTCATCCATCGTGCGATCTGATTCTTCTGAAATCATCAGTTTCCTTCAAATGCCCAAGCATTTCTACAAAGATTTCTTACTTTGTTTTCATTAAATCCGTCCGGGGTAACTTCAAACAATAGCAGTTTTATAATAATTGAATGAATTAAGCTGTTTTCTTTTTATAATATAAATAAATTTCCCCATGGTTTCAAAAGTATATCATTCTTTTGATGTAGTGACAGTTCTTGTCGTCGTTGTTACGACTCTTTCTATTCAAAAAAGACTTTTGTGTCACATTTTTATTAAATTCTGAACTCGTTAATACTATTAGTCCGCATCCTTGTAGTGTATTTACAAGTTCTCAAGAAGCTGCAAAGGGAAGAGTTATCCACAACTCCCACTGCCTTCCAGATAAACAAGAACACTTACAAGTATTACTTTGTATTGTGGTAACATGGATCTCTCGCACGACAGTTCAGAGAAGTTCTCTAAGCTCACCACCCCATTACACGTCATTTGGAGTTGTCAACGCAGAGAGAACACTGAAAAGCGTGCCCCAACAATGCGATTCGACAACAGCAGTAAAATCCAGCAACACTTGCCCGATAACATATCACTTAAACTAAGACCAAGGTATACGGCACTTCGCACACCGTCATCATTAGTATCATTACTACACTTGCCCCTTTAGTTTACTGGAGTGCTAGAAATATAGAGAGAGCAACACATACAGAGTAAGATGGTATGAGTTTAAAAAAAAAAAAAAGAAAGTGAAAGAAATCGATTTACAGGTAAAAACTGCAGAGATATTGTGCTATTTTATGAAACAAGAGAAAATCAAATTAAGAGGGAGAAAACCAAAAAAAAAAAAAGTAACGACACACATACATATATATATATATATAACCCATAAAATGGAAGGAAGTGAGCAAGCAAAAAAAAAAAAAAAAATGTACCCTAATTGCTTTTCTTTGCTTGAATGTCAATCTTTTGCTGTGAACGCTTTGCCAGTCCAAACCAAGATTTATCCTGTTCCTCAAATGTAGGAAGCCAATTTTGCTTGAACCATATGATAGTGTCCTTCCATCCATCAACAAATGGAATAATTGGTTGATACTTTAGTTCTTGCTCTGCTGCAGTAATCCGGAACCATCGGTGCATTGTTAACACAAAGACGTTAAAGACGTTCAACTTGAAAACACGACCCAGCATCCATCCAAAAAATTCTGCAAAAAGAGCAATTACGTAAAGGAACCAGAAATTATAGTGCATTTTTTCCTGAATAGAAGGAAATCCCATACCCACCACAGCTTTATCCAACTCTTTCCAAAAAATACAGTATGCACCAGGTTCGGGGTGTGTATTCCCGTCTGTCACGATATAGAACTTTCCCAATACAGGTGAACCCTTGAAAAGTTGCCGCTCAGCTATTATAAGGCCATGAGCATAGTTATCAACATGTGTAAAACAAATACGATTGGTTCCTGGGCCAAAAATCCGTAATTTGCCTGTTCCGGCAGCCTCAAGCATGTTTGGTAAAAATAGGTTATCACGAGGCCCATATACTTGATGAGGCGCCACACTAACAACCAAAAGATCATCACTACAGGCAGCTGTTACGGTCATCTCGGCAATTGCTTTTGTTTCAGCATACATTTGCATATATGCATCCAATGGCAACTCTGGCATTTCAGCCTCTGTCAGTCCATCTATACAAGGACGATGAAAGAGATTCCCCTTAAAACGTGTAGAAGGAGAACTACTCATTACAAGTTTATGAACACCCCACGTCTTACACGCCATAATAACATTCTCTGTCCCCACACAATTAACCCTATAGTAGAGTTCACGAGGGTGAAAAGGACCAACAGCAGCTGCCAAATGCCAGACACAATCTGCACCCTTTATAGCTTTTGATACATCCTCGTAGTTTGCAATGTCACCAACCACGTACTCTATAGCAGGATGTTTCCATGCGCCCACAGCCTTTTCCATAGGAACAATGTCAAAGCACACTACTCGCTCGGCACCCCGCTCCACGAGCATCTCAACAAGACGTGTACCAACAAACCCAGTACCACCAGTTACAACACAAACCTTTGGAACTGGAGGGTATTCTCTGGATGCAGCCTTCCGCTGTTCAGGAGAGAGTGCAGGATTGAGTGCTTTAGGGGGCATTTTTTGTTTATTTTATTAGATTGCTTTGTGTTTTCTTTTTTTTTTCTTAATTCTTATTTTCCAGAAAATGTGATGAAGCAGAAGACATATGGTTTTTTTTTTCTTTTTTTTGGTTTGGTGACCACCGACCAAGAATAATATGTTTATACAAATTTGGGAATCAATAACAAGGAGAATTAAAGAAGTAAAACAATGTTTCACAATTTTACTATCTCTCCCTCTCTCTCTCTCTCTCCCTCCCTCACACACACACAAAGAGAGAGAGAGAGGGGGAGAAATAGAAAGACATAGATAATACAAAAAAAAAAAAAAACGTCGCGGTTCAACACATAAATAATTCATACTTAGAGGTCTAAAAATAGACATACAAGTATTGTCCGTGCAGTTTATATGGAGTCAGAGGGGGTGACAATACGCTCCAATGTAGAAAGTGACTTTTTCACTCCTGTGTCTTCAAGCATATCTGACAAACTTGAGACAATAGGTAAAAGGACAGGACCTTCGTAAAAATTATCCTCACGCTTTCTTTTTCGGTCAAATAGTATACGTTTCATAAAAGGAACGGAAAATCCTCTACATTCAGTACCCTTCGGTATTGGTGAAAATATAGCACTTCGACATAGTTGAGTTAGCTTGTCGCAGTCACGACACGAAGCGCTCTCATTCGAAAATGCTATTTCTTGCGGAATCGACTCTTCCAGCGACTCTCGAAGAGTTGAGAGAGTAGTTTGAGTTATAGTAACCCTTCGTCTCGTAAGTCTATCTGGAGAAAATGCCTTTGTCAAATCTTCTTTAGGATTAGATAAACCCTTGTATGTTTTTTCTTGTGGTAATAACACAGATAACAAACGAGGTTGAATTAAAGGGGAATTATCAGAGACATCACTTGCGACAGGTGGCATAAGGGATGCGCAAACCGCCGCTTCATGCACAATTGGAAGCATAATACTTGCATAGGTTACTCCCAAATCACCCTCAAGATCCACATGTTTTTGAGACCATGTAGAAGTTGTCAAAAAGTTACTCAGCGTACTTCGATCATCCGGACTATAAACATAAGAGAGAATCAAATATCTCCAGATGGTTTCCCGTAAAATGGCATATGACTGTATTGGAACAATTGGTTCTCCATTCAATGGTATGACAATTGTGTCATTGCATCCTTCCCCTAGCAAAGCCCCTCCAGTTGCATTTTTTACAAAACGACATCGTGGAAGAACATCTTCAACTAATGTCTTCACTTTTGATTTCAACCCTTTAATAGAGGGGCTACTAAGGATACACTCCTCTGCGGAGACCGTATTTTTCACAAATACCACAACTTCATTATAAACATCAGGTTGTGTATTATTCCCATTGTTTACCCATTTCATAACCTCTGTTGACATTGGAAGACGGGTACTGAGCGGGACACGTGGAAAGCACAAACCACCTACACAACCTGCATGCTGGTATAGACAACGTCTATCCCTCGTTTTTGGATATAGTGCTGTTAAAAGAGTTACAACAAATGCTTTTGCTGAACCACGCAATGGCCCAAATGCACCGCTATAAAAATGTAACATCTCCCAGACAGGAATGCACGATGCAGTCGCAAGAGCAGCACCTTGAGCTTCATTCAAAACAAGATCATGATGAACAGCAGTCATGAAGCGCCAGTAGAGGTCTACAAGTTGAGCAGCCACCTCTGCTGATTCTACACTTTGGGACCATGCAAGTAATAACTTACTTAAATCTTCAATCAAAGAATGAACCCTTGAATTATCCCCCATTCCAAGAGGTTGTTTACAAAAAGAAAAAACACTATCATTACACAACGAAAAAAAAAAGGAATTTCATCAAGTTAGCAAAGAGCAGATATATTTTGAACCTCCCAGCAACCAAGAAAATAATTAATAATAATAATAATAATAATAATAATAATAATAATAATAATAATAATAATAATAATAATAAAAGAAACGAAAGCTGTCTCAGTAAAAATAAAAATATTTTTAAACTTTGTTTTTTTTTTTTTTTT